CCCATCCAGGAGAAATAATTTTTGGCCCATATGGCTAAGTCTGATTTTTATATGTGAAAGTAGTGGGGGGAAATTCAAAATGAACGTGTGCGAGGGGTCTTTGGGAAGAAGTATACCTAAATACTTGATGGCGTTAGGTGCCCATTTGAAATAAAAGTTTTCAAGGACTCTACGCAGTGACATACCGGTAAGAGATATAGGAGGGCCTCTGATTTAGTAGAGTTAATTCGAAAGTTTGAGAGGGTTCCGTAGCTCCTCAATTCCTGAAGCAGTATGGGGATTGATACATCCGGGGATGAGAGAAAGAAAATTTATATTATAGAGGTTTTTATAATAGTCAACAAATGCGTCCGCTATGTCGGCGGTAAGTGAGGATTTAGCTCATTTTGAATCTACCACTCCGAGTGCAAACGTAGGGGAGAGACGGGCGGCGTACCCCATCAGGGGCTTGGTCGCCCTCTCTCACCCACGCAGCAGATGGGGGAGAGTTCTGCAAGGCATTTAAAAAAAAAAAGGGTTATAAAAGGTGTACAATATTGAAAAGGTGGCTACCACATGCATACATCACCCATAATAAGAGGGGTGTAAAATCCAGTGGCAGATTGTAATACTGTCTCAGGCCTGGAGGGTATAGTGTAGCGGGTTCATGAAGTTCAATAATAATATGCATCCAAGCGAGTGAAAGTCCGTTACTCGGGGTGGCCCAAGGATGGGGCCTCACCTGGCTACACATTGTCCTCCTCACCAAGTAATAGAAGGGTATTGGGTTGGGCGGTTGCAGGTGGTGGATTCCTGAGTCTGGTTCACCGTTCAATTGGATGGGGGGGCTGAGGGATCCCCTTGGTCTATACTTTGGTCAAGGGACCAGGTAGGTCGGGGTGTCACAGTTCCCTTAAATTTAATTTGGGACCCGTTCGTCGAGTCTACTGCTAGTTCATGCTGAGGCGGTCCCTGCAGTGCAGGCTGAGGTCTGTCACTGGCGGGTGGTCTACGTTGATTACTTTGGGGTATTGAACGCGCCATGACAGGCAATTCTATTTGCAACCAATCTGGGATCTCCACAGGTGCTGTTCCCAATAGAGAAAATAATGCTGGCAGTTGGTCCGGGTGACGCAGTATAAACAATTCTCCGTTCTTGCGAATATTCAGGCAGAAAGGGTACCCCCAGGTATAGAGAGACCCTGCGCTCCTTATATCCGCGAGAAGTGGTTGAAGCAACCTGCGCATTTGAAGGGTGCGCCTGGACAGATCGGGGAGCAGAGTAATGTCAGTCCCCTCATATGTGACCGATCCTTTTGCCAAGCGTATTGGAGGATAGCCTCTCTTACAGTATAATAGTGCTCCCGTGCAGAACGTCCCTGGGGCGTGTTTCTCTATCCTGGCGCTGACCCCCAATCCTATGGACCCTGTCCAGTTCCAGGGGTGCGTCAGGTGGTTTATCTATTACTGTATTAAGGATATGGGTCACCACTGACCTTAGTTCTGAAGCTGTCGTTGTCTCCGGTAGTCCGCGCAGTTTAACATTGTTTCGGCGCATGCGGTTCTCCAGCTCATCGTTGCTCAGCATCATGGTGGTAATCAGATGTCCTTGATGAGAGACCCTGGACTCCAGCTCCGACATTCGTCGCGACACAGCGTCCTGTTCTGCGTGCAACGTGGTGACCCGATCTTCAAGGTAGGTGACCGTGGATGTGATGCCGGCTATGTACCGCCGGAGTGCCGTCTCCATGTTTGAGACTATCTCCTCCATGTCTCGTTTAGATGGTAGGGAGAGTAAGATGGCAGACATCTCCCCTGCTGTAAGTGGTAGCCCAGTGGCTAATGGTGGTGCTCGTAGTGTG